AAAAGGACCTAAAGGTTGTAAAATATGAATAAAAACATCAAATTTTACATTTAGGCTCCAAATATACAGGTAAACTTATTTGGCTTCTAAAAGCATCCAAGAATTTCTTTTTAGTCGTTTGGTCAAAGAAAAATTATATTTAAAAACTAAACGCAACTCTTTGAGTTCGCAAAAAAGGCCTTAAATTACCATACAAATACACCGCGCACTGTGGTATTTTCAATTATAAATTATCGCATAACTTTGCAGCTCTTCATTCATTTTACATTTTTGTATAAAATGACCCAGAACTTACCACGAAAAGTTAGATGCAATTCCAGTTTCACTTACACCCTTCCCACCATCTAACCTATAAAATTGTAGTAATTTGGGTTGATTTAGCCAATGCGGTTACATTAAAATCAGATTTTTTATCAAATTTTGGCATTGTTAATCTTAAAAAAAACGTTGTTCTGGTATATCCATCTCTGATTTCTTTTTCGCACACTTTTTGTGCAGACTTCGTGACAAGCTTCAAGCACCTTTCGCGCATAGTTTTGGTTGTTAAACTTAAATATTGGAGGCGGCGACAGCTTACATTTAGTCCAATCTATTAACAGTGTAGTTCGTGGCTTGAAAATTTATTAAGGAAGTCATAAAGTTCTAACAGACTTTCGGAATTTCAGTTCTTGTCCTTAGTACTACTCTCCTGTAACCCAACTCTCGTAGGTGCTCTCTCTCTCATCGACTATCATAGCCAACAACAGGTTCTCTGGGTGACAGAAAAGGCGTTTCTCTGATCGATGATTCTTTTAATGTCATGTGGCAAATGTCTTGTTGTTTGAACAACTTTAAAGATATGTGTCGGCTCATATTTTACTGACTGATATATTTTAATGTCAAATTGGGACATGGGCATATGTTCGTTTGTAGGACTTGTTTGGAAGATAAAAAACCGTAAGACACGATTTACACATGTCAGCCATCGGGAGTGACTAAGAGGACCAGGATCTGAAGTACATTATCCTGTTTGAATTGCTCTGACAATATTCAGAAGGTTTTGCTGGTCTTTACTAAGATAAGTTTTACTGTCGTCATCAATTTGCAACGGGTAATTTCGCAGTTATGCAGCAATTTGCCGATTTTTCCAGAGAACGATGCTGGTCCCGTCGTGTGTCCTTCTAAGTATTGAACAGCGCTGCAACGAGGTGTTATAACGCGTCACGCCAAATAGCTACTGGCAAAACTGCCGACAGAAAAACAAAAGCGAGGTCATCCCCTCCCATTCACTTAATTAATATGATGATTTTAGACCTTTTGTGCAAACTCAAAAAGTACCACAATGCGTGTATTTGTAAGTTGAAGAGAAACCCTATTTTTTAACTTAACATTTTTAAATATAATTTTTCTGTCCTTAAACGACTAAAAAGAAGTTCTTAGATGCTATTAAAGGCCAAAAAAGTTTACCCGTATATTTTGAGCGTAAATGTAAAATTTTATATTTTTCCTAATTTTTTACAAAACTTTAGGTCCTTTGTGCGAACTGAAGATTCAAAGTATGATTTTTTTATTATATTTCCATTAATTAACATGCACAGATGCCACTTTTGCGCACTATTAGAATTCGATAATCGAAAAAATCCTTTTTTTGACTCACCTTATTATACAGGGGCTACTAACACTTTAAACATATCTTTTTATAAAAATTTGATATACAACTTTTAAGGTGTATCATATAATAATAACTTATATAAAATGTTATTTATGAAATTAGTGTGGATTTTTATTAAAGATGGTGCATTTATGTTATTTAAAAATGGTTTTACCTTGACAAGAATGATCACATTTTTAAAACATGCGACCTTGTTAGTTTTGCAATCAATGTGCTCTCCAAAAATTTAGTAAAATTATTAATTTATCGATAAAAAAACAAAAATCTGTGTGGAAAATGTCTATAGGGATTGGTTTAACGAGTGAGCTAAAAGAGAGTAATAAAATTAAAAGCAATTGGCTTTGATTTGAAAATAATGGAACAAATAATGGATAGAGATGCATGGCCTAGAAATGTTATTGTTAGATATTATACATTTTTTCGTCCCAGAACCGAATGGGAAGGTAAATAATTTTATTACTGTTGCTATATAAATTTACAATCAATAAAAAACAAGCTTGAAAAACTGGAATTATATTTACAGATGAATTCCATTGATATTTTGTGTCAGTGAATATTTTGTAATACGAGCCCTAACCACAAAATGTTCGGACACTTTATAATTTATACAGAAATATTTTTCGTGAATACTATCTCAAAATTATTAGAGGTTATGAAAAATTCAGCTCATTTTAGCATATACCCCTCGAAGCGATTTTTATTTTTAAAAAGTTTACCTTTTATTTTTAGCTTTTAAAAAAAGGCTAACTTTTAAACTTTTTTTTGTATGAGTAAAGAAAGTTATAAATGGGCCCATTAAAAAGAGCATAAAATATTATACAAACCCTGAAAATTTGGTAAAAAATAAATAAGTTATAAAAAAGTATAAGTAATTTAAAAATGCTATTTTTAAAGAGTTTTTGCAATTTTCTTAGGAAACGGGAGATTTTGCAGATATATATATCGTTATAACTTTCTTATTATTTATACAATTTTTACCAAATTTTCAGGGTTTGTATAATATTTTATGTTCTTTTTAATGGGCCCATTTATAACTTTTTTTACTCATACAAAAAAAAGTTAAAAAGTTACCCTTTTTTTAAAAGCTAAAAATAAAAGGTAAACTTTTTAAAAATAAAAATCGCTTCGAGGGGTATATGCCAAAATAAGCTGAATTTTTCATAATTTCTAATAATTTTGAGATAGTATTCACGAAAAATATTTCTGTATAAATTATGAAGTGTCCGAACATTTTGTGGTTAGGGCTCGTAGAAAATAAGGTAAACTCAACATTAATTGAAGGTTATAGCATAAAATCCAGCTTCTGTATATATAGTAAATACAATACATGGAGCCTTTTTAATACTATGTAAGAATAACAAATATACTATTGAACCTTAGGATAGCATAAATATCTTAAGTGTAGAAGCAATATGTGAAATTTCTGCTATTGAAATCCTAAATGCAAACATAATCGTTATATCAATATATAGACCCCCAAATAGTGAATTTTCAGTATTAGTTGGAGTTATTGAGCAGTTAATGAAATATGTAGGCACATAAACTAAATATATATTATCATTGCAGGAGACTTTAACATTTCATTTCATGAGGAGAAATGTAAAATGTACATTGATTTCATCGAGGTGGTCAACTGTTATGGAATTAAGTGAATAAGAATACAAGGAAAAATTAGGTCAAACAAAAATGTGATTTTAACCCATCGGCCTTATATTCAAACGGGTAAATTTAAACCTTACAATATTTTGAAAATGAATGTTGGTCATTTTTAAATGATGATATTACAGTGGAGGATTTATCCAAAAGATTACTGTCAATATTTTAAACAAAATGTAATACATGTTTTCCAGTGATTTCTATACAATGTAAAAAAAATAAGGTATCATGGGTATTATAACAATAGTTTGTATAATATGCGAAATCACATAAAATAATTAATTTAATTTTATGATAACAATAGGTGTCCAAAAATGCATGCCATTGTAAAAAAATTCAAAAAAACCTCATAGAAATGAACTCCGAAGGGTAAAAAGGGCTTCCAATTCAAAGTACATAGCAGACTCAGTAAACAAAACTAAAGCAAGTTGGGATATTATTAACCAATATAGGAAAGGTAAATCAGGTACAGAAGTAAGTAACATGAATATATGCATTAGGAAGAGATGTTTTAAATATTTTAAACTCTCAAAAGTTGTGCCTATCCACAAAAAGGGGAGTTATAAACATCCAGGAAACTTCAGACCCATATCGCTAATATTAGTATTTTTAAGGTATTTAAACACCTTATAAAAAACAATTGTACGCGTATTTTAAAGGCCAGAACCTATTTTGCAACTGCCTACATGTTTTTAGAGCTGGTTGGTCTACTATTGGTGCAATAAACATTTCAATGGAAAAAATATTAAACGGTTTTAAAAATAAGGAGTTTGTTGTCCACCAGATCCTGCTTAGTAAACTAAGAGTGTATGGTTTTGGCGAGACGAGTCCGAGGTTTATGGAATCTTACCTAAAAAGTAGGTGACAAATAACTGCGGTTTGGAGTAACGCAGGGGTCGGTTCTGGACCTTCTGATTTTTATGAATGATATTCCTGCGTCACTGCGTTCGGGGGAAGTAATTTTATTCACGGATGATACCACCCTTATCCATTTTAATTCAGATTTAAATTTGCTCAGCAGAAATGAGTTTAAATGTTGAACATGTTAATGAGTTGCCAATAAGTTGAGTTTTAATGAGCCTAAAACTGACAATCTGATTTTTAGCTTGCGTTAACATTAATAAAAGTAGATATGTAAAGTTTTTGGGTATACACTTGAATCCTACATTGACAGTTAAGTGCCTTATCTCCAACCTTGCTATTAAAATTCAAAAAAATTATATTTATTAAAAAATATTATCAAAAGTGTTGAGTTTGCTGTGGCTAAGGTAGTTTTAAAGTCACTTATCCAGGGTACTTCTATGTATGCTGCCATGATTAGCAAAAAGGCCGTAACTGCACCCGATGTGAATTTTTAATTTTTTACATCAGAAATTCAAATGCCTATCTTGGGTACTGGATAAAAATGCCGTATTTAATATTTAAACCATAAAGCGCATATGTATTAATTCCGCATCTACCAAATATTTGAACATTTACTTAGGATAAACGCGTTTTTCCTAAGCACAAATCAGATGCGGCTGTTTTGCTTGAGTTTTTTACAATATTTACTGAAAGAAGATATCATTGAGAATTTCCTAGTAATTCGTTTGCGATTTTTGTGGTGCGAGCGTTGAATTCAAAGGCTTTCCTTGAAGACAATCGCAGTTCGTAGAGTTTTTTTTGTGTAACAGTGCAAAAATTTTTGTGAACAATGTCAAGACGAACAAGATTGATCATGGAGAGTGCACTTTCCACTAAAAACGGCAATAATAATAAGAAGTTTTTGCCAGAAAACAACAACGTCAATCTATTGCCGCCCGGCCGGCAAAATACGGTAATTGTTGTACACAAACAATTTTAATATCACGGAAGCAGAAATGATCTTTCCTGAAAATTTTGAGATTCATTTTACAAAACATCCAACAGCTTCAGAATATGTCTCAAGTAATAACAATTTAAATTCCATTGAAGTTACCCTTTCAGACCCAAAGCAGTAAAAAGATATATCAGGAACTGGAAGCTAGGTCTGACCACATTTTTGGTAGTGACATTAATTATTGAAAATGTGTATATTCTTTTGACAAAAAATACATTATTTCATCAATATTTCAGGAGTCCGAAATTACCAAAGAACCTCCCATTACTTATGATAAAGCTAATAATATTGATAGATTTATTGAAAATGAAGGTGTTAAAAGTCAGTTTGATGAGGTTGGTATAAAAACATGTTTTTCATTTTATCAAGATAACAATTAATGAAATAAATATGTCATTGTCGTTTTTCGTTGAAGACCGACTTGCTCCCAACCCACATACGATAAATAGCGGAGGTAAGCCAAGATGGGCTTGTATAAAATGCTCATTTCAACTATATTTGCTTTTTCAGCGAGCTGGTAATTGTGAAGTTTAATATACCTAATCAGGACATGTGCGTAAAAGGAGGATGATTCAGGAGTCACTCGAAGAGGGAAAGAGAGCTAAACAAGAAGTAGCAAGACAAAAACATGCTGTGCTTCCATCATGCAAAAGTTGCAAATTAAAGTGTAATCTTCAAATTTTACAAGAAATGCGGATTCGTATAAACGACGAGTTTTGGAACATGTCGTATATACAACGAAGAGCCTATATTTTAGGTTGCTGCGAACGCCAGATTGTTAAAAGGCGCTCTAAAGATAATGATAACGGAAGCAAAAATGTTTCATTTAAATACTTATTAAATACCGTAGTGTTTTTCCTGACCAAGTTAGGCTTTAAACACAACAATGATCATTTCAAAAACACCAAAAGGTTCCAGTAAGGAAGAAATTAAAGCTCATAATATATTATAGAATCATTTAATCCTGTAACATCGCATTATCGTAGGAAGCATGCTCCAAATATTCTATATTTTCCCAGTGACGCAACAGTGGCTTTTATGCACACAGACTTTTTGGAGAAGCATCCAACAATCAAGGTATCATATAAAGTTTATCGTCTACAAGTCAAAGCCCAAAACATTTTGTTCCCAAAGCTCGGGAACGAAGAATGTGAAGCCTGCGAATCGTTTAACATGGACACAAAAAGACAACATGATAGATAACTGCAACAAATGTGATTCGTGGAAAGACCATATCGAATTGGCCACTAAAAGGTGAAGGCTTTACAGACAAATGGCACAATCAAATATCGATGGATCATGCTTTTCAGCTGATTTGGAGAAAATAATTATGTGGTCAAGAATAGATTCATTTAAAAAAGTAATTGTTACTAAGAGACTAACTGTTTACAATGACAGCTTTGTACCGGTAGGGAAGAAAACCAAAAGTAAACCTTTTGCTGTACTTTGGCATAAAGGTATCAGTGTTGAAAGCATAAAGGTATCAGTGTTGGAAGCCTTATAAGCACATTTCATGTATTTTGTAATTAAAATCGGGATTTGAAATCCTTGACGATTTGGCTTGACTGTTCAAGCCAAAATAAGAATTGGGCATTTTTGAGCTTTTTAGTTTATATGACTAACTCAAAATAAGTTTCCACTGAAACTATTAATATTCACTATTTTGAACCAGGACATACTTTCATGTCGGCAGACAGTTTTTACCATCAAGTGGAACTCTCGTTGAAACACCAAGGCAAAACATATGATTTTCCGGATTTTGTGACGGCAGTTCAATCTGCCAACAGTGTAAAAGTAGATAATAAAGAGATGAGCCATAGTGACTTCTCCTTGTGGGAGAGCCATTCTTCTCAAAAAAAATTAAAACAAGCAAATCCCATATATTTAAATAATATAGTTCAAATAACAGCGGTTTGGGGTTGTTTATTGTTTATTTATTTTATTAATTATTTATTTACTTTATAAGACTTTTTATTCTGAAACCGAGCATTTCAACTGTCTTGATTTTTTAACCGTTAAGGCAATTAAAAACGGTTTGAGAACTCCTTCACCATTAACGCATCCTTGCGGTTTTCCTGCAGAAAAAAGAAATGCTTTACTCAAAAACCTGGACCAAGTTATACCCAATAATCGAAGAGAGTTCTGGTTAAATATGCCTACTAGATAAGTAAGCGGCATAATAGTGACAAATGTGCCAATATGTATTGATTTTTTGTTATGATTATGTTTTGAAATATAAGTTTCGTTCAGGTTGTTTTTTTTGTCATACTGCGATTTCAGACACCTAAACACCTGATACAATACAAAAATGCATTACTGCGTTTCTCTTTCAGCGGATGGCTTTACTTAGGAAATAAATGATTAGGAGGAACGCAGTAAATGCATTTTTGGACTAATTAGAGGCCTTTTTGATATTTTTTTATTTAGATAGAATCGTTATCGATCATAATAATATATAGTTCACCACACACACATTTTTGTCAAATTGTATTCTATGGCTAGATAATAAGATAAAAACTGGATTTACTCCGTTTTAATTTTTCTGCAGTTACTATGTTTCTCCTCACGGCAGTATGGTCTATTAATATAAGGCCATACAGCTCATGCTACCAGAATTTTTATGTTGCCAAGAACAGCATTACGTATATTGTGTAAACTTAAGTATAGGGATGATGTAAGGTGTAAATTTATAAAGCATAGTATTTTAACAGTTCCATCATGTTATACATGTATTTATGAGTGTTTCATTTATTTAAAATCCAATGTAGTTTATTATGATATCCATAATACCCATGATTCCCATGATATTAAATTATCCATTCATAGATTAAATAAAGTAAGAAATACAACAATGTATTATACCCCTACCTTCTATAATAAATTGCCCCAACATATAACAGACTTTCCTTTAAGTTTATTTAAAACTGTGATAAAATCATACCTGATTAAAAAGCCTTTTTACAGGATAACCTAGTTTCAATCTGAAACAGTATGTAGTATATAATGTTGACTATAGTATGTTATTTATTAAGTAGTGATTTAGTTTAATTTTAAATATAAATGGTTCCTATATATTATATTGATTCTCGTATTTTGTAACCTCAACTCGAGGGCTATGGCGAACGGCAGCTTATCAGTGGTGAGATGGGTCGATGGGCAAATGTTGTTTTTCAATACTTACGTGCTTGAAACTAAAGGCAAACATAAACATGGGCGCTGGTGTCTTATTTGGGCCAGTTGTTAAAGTCTCATTAAGTATGACACAACCTTACTGAAGAAAAAAGGTAATTATTATAAAATATCAAATTAAAAATTATAAATATAATGAATATCTCAGTTATTAATGAGGATATTTACACTTTATGATGTTGATTAATTATAATTTTGGGTTCCCTTATAAGGCCATATTTGGTTTAGTTAGTAAGTAAGTAAGTTTATTTATGCTAAAGATTATAAAAGAGTATTTACACATGTCAAACAAGAAAAGCATTTACAAGTAAAAGAGTTTTGTACTGTATGTTTACAAAATGTTTAAAAATTTACAATTTAAAATGAAAAATGTTTAACAAAATCCAAGAACACCAAACATACAATACACAAATATATAATACAACTAGTACATTAGCAAAAAAATAATAAATAAATAAAAAATTATAAATCATGAAAGTCATTTAAAAGGTACTGGTCAAAGCTCCAAAAAGCTTTCAAGAGAAAGTAATTTTTGATTTTGGATTTAAAAATCAAAAATGGTAAGGCGCGTACGTGAGGGGCAGGACAAAAAAACGAATACAAAAGTAGTTTGTTCCAGTCCGTGTCACTTTCAGTCTCAGGAGAGTTTGATAAATATTGCTCGCATTACTGGTGCTATAGGAGTGAAAGTTCTGGTGGGTTTTAAAGTTACCTAGGTTTGTTTTTATGTGGAGCAGACATTCCAGTATGAAAAGGCAAGGAAACGTGAGAATGCGAAGCGAGACAAAACTCCCCCTGCAGTCGTCCCTGTACCCCAGCCCGCCAACAATTCGCACCGCCCTCCTCTTCAACCCGAAAATCCTATCCCGTGAGGAACTGTGGCCCCAAGCCAAAATACCATAAGATAACGAAGATTGGATTACAGAAAAGTAAACCATAGGAAGAACAGCCCTGGACAGGGACCCAGAGAGACCGCGCAGAAGATAGCAACCCTTGCCAATCACGCCAGCAACCCGCTCTCCCTGTTCTTTCCACAGTAGTTTGTGGTCAATATACAAGCCCAAGAATCTGGCACTCTGCGAGTAGTTATTATTATCAAACCGTCGTAGTGTGAACATCAAGTTTATAGTCTTATCCACATTTAGGAGAAGCCTGTTTGTACCGAACCACAGTGAAGCCCTCAACTGTGCTCTAGTGTTGGCCTCAACTGCCACACCCAAGACCCTGTTCTTAGTATGGAAAGATGTGTCATCTGCAAAAATGGTTACATTATCTACCCCGAACTCAGTGGAGCCCTCAGTAGCACTAGCTCCCAAAAGAATCGTGTCAGGGAGGTCATTTATATATATAAGAAAGAGAACGGGGCCAAAATGAGAGCCCTGGGGTACCCCAATATCCACAAGTCACACACTGCGTTCTACCAGTCAGATAAGACATAATCAAGCGGCAAGTGCCCGGGGAGAATCCGTAAAACTAAAGCTTTCGCAGCAGTATAAGGGGTGGGACACAATCGAAGGCCTTACTGAGGTCAAACAAACTGGCTGCAGAAAATTCGCGCTGTTCAAAGCATTCGATTATGGTATCTACAAAAGACATAATAGCGCTTGTTGTAGACAAGCTTCGATGAAATCTAAATTGATGCTTTGAGAACAAGTTATTATTTTCAAAGTGTTCGACAACCTGAGCTACCAGAAGCTTTTCAAAGATTTTTGAAAACACCGGCAAGCTATTGGTCTATAATTATTGGGTTCATTTATGTTGCCCTTTTTATGAATAGGTATGATAACCGCTTTTTTGAGCACTCTTGAAAAAATGTTCGAAGTAATGCATTGATTAATCAATTTTGTAAGTGGAGTAAAAATCTGATTTTTACTACACTTTATTATGTCAGTGGTTAGGCCATAAAGATCCTTGCTCCTACTGTTTTTAAGACATACTATGGTTTCGCGCACTTCAATGAGAAACATTTAACATTAAACCAATTCAGCATTTGTGGGAGAAATCGTGTTAACAATGTTATTAGCAATATAACTGAAAAAATCAGTAAATGTGTTAGGTGAAACTGAGCAGTTATTTTCTGTCCTACCTGGCTTTCGAATAGAATTTACTAGTTTCCAACTAGATTTTGAGCTGTTACCCGAATTTCTTATGTATGTACATATCATTAGCCTCAATTTTTGCCTTTTTTAGTTCTTTTTTATACAATTTCTTATAATTCCTTAAAAAAAATTTTAGTTCATTAGTTTTACGTAGAATATAGGAATCACTCAGTAACCCTACTATATTACGGAGATTTTTTAGGTACGGCGAAAACAAGGTTAACTTATTATAGCTGCTCTGTTTTTTATAAATAACCCTCTCAGGAAACGCCTCTTTGAACATATTTTCAAATACACCCACAAAAGCTGTGAATTTCAAGTCAGGGTCCTGATTTGAATCTATAATTGGAGACCAGTCGTATGTTAAGAGAATATCAATAAGCATACTTCTGCCCCTATTTGTAATTGGTCTAGTAAGTATGGGAACTTTTATATGTTTAGATTTTAAATCGAATTTTAGTTCTATTGCCAACCCCCTATGATCAGAAATATGTGTTTCGATAACATCAACATGAGTATTTATTATGTTTGTGAAAGCATTATCAATTGTGTCAGCATTTCTGGTAGGCAAGTCAACAAGTTTTGATAGACCAAAACCATTGAGCAGGTCAATTAATCTTTATGCATCATCGTCATCATCCTGCCTGTTTACATTTTTGAAGCATACATTAAAATCACCTACGATCAAAACATTACCCATCTTAAAGTTGACCTTGTTACATACCTTTTCAATGATCTCCATGAAAATCACAAAAGTTCCTTTCGGGTTTGGTGACCTGTATACAGTTATGACAGTTAAGTTAAAAACTGGGATTAAAACAGCAGAGATTTTACAATGCTGTTCAATTGATAGTGAATTCAAGTCCTCAAGTTTCTCGTAGGACAGTGTGTTATCCAGCATTTCAACTCCACCATGCGCCCTAACCTTCCTAGAGAATTGGTAGGCCGTTCTAAAGTTGCCAATCTTTAAATATTCCGTTTCAGTTTCCGTTAACCAAGTTTCATTCATACAGAGCATGTTAAATTTTTCTCCAATATATGCTTCTAACTCATTAACTTTTGTTCGCAGGCATTGCATATTGTGGTAAAATAAATTAAAAGATAACTGAGGAGTGACTAATGGTATTCCTAATTTTGGACTAGTTTCTCTTTGTCTGTTATCAGTATGAAGTCTGTCTGGTAGGCAGTGACAATAAAGGACTTGTACAAATTTGGATGCTTAGAAAACCCCCGTTTTGAATTCCAACGTTTCTATGTATTCACCTAGAGATTTCTCGGTTACATTGGTATCTAATCTCGTTACATAAATAGAAGCTGTCTTTGCAACCCCTTTTATTGTGGACACAGTACTTTTCCCGATTATTCCGGTATTTTTCCTTGCGTTTTTGTAAGTTTTTGTAGTAAAATCATCATTGCTAATATTTTTGGTTATGTTTTTATCAGCTGGTACCGGCATTACAGTTTCAGGAGTTTGTTTTGCTACAGGTGTGTGTGTGATAGGTAACTGTACTGTCAGCGGTATAGCTTTCTTCAGTGTTTTCTTTACATTTTCAGCATAGTTAAGAGGTAGCGCCATCTTTGTGTTAGTAGTGTTATTCGAGGATGCCGGTATATTGGTTATGTTATTTGAAATATTTGGTTTGTTTACCTCAGTTTTTTTGGCGGTTTTTAACTGGTTTTCTAGACTGGCAACTTTTTCCTTAAGAAATTCAATTTTCTTAATTAATGTACCATTGTAGTCCATCAGGATCTTATTCTTACTCATGAGCTCTTGAAAAAGTAGGTTTTCAATGGTATTCCCAGTTCATATAACGGAGATTAAATCCATAACCTCCTCGGCTTCATGCTGGCATTCACTGCTTTTATTAGCTGCTTTTCCGCACCCCGGGTGAAAAAGACTTCTGCACTTTTTGCATATCACTTTCTCCCGAACTACTGCACGTCTACAGTGTTTACTCTCCTTTGGAATGGCTAAATTTAGAACTTTTTCGCTGGACGGATCGACAGCAGGACTTGTGTCGCTCGCCATTTTTAATTATATGACAATACAAATACAAATCAATAAGACTAAATTTGACATTAAATTAATAAAAAAAAATATTTAAAGGTGTAATCTATAATACAAATACAAATTTAATTTAACATATTATTAAAGTTAAAGAGTATAGTCATATAGGTTAAAATTTCAATAAACCAAAGCTACACTACAGATGAACAGAGCGTAGTGCATATAATATATATTCATCGTTAATATAACCAAATTTTAGTACGACCTGATACTTGGGAACTTGGGGAACTTGTAATGTGGGGTTCCAAATTGACTTCTTTGAAGTTGAAATTTCTTTAAATCATGTCAGATTCAGAGGATGGTCTTTTAATAATCTAAAAAGGCTTGTTAATATCAAAACACTATTTCAAAACAACAATTTCTAACGGACATAAAAGCTCTTAAAGAAATAATATACAGTGCTTGCAAATCCAAGTCCGACCACACTGGAAAGGACGGCTGTTCAATACCCGCGTGAAAAGAACAAGGATAGAACGCCAAATAGAATTTGATTGGCCAGCCGGCAGGCTACGACAACGCATACCCATCGCGCACCTCGCAGCGTGCTTGACACGAGGAATCCTCGTCGAGGATATCAGAACGAGAACTGCAGTGGTGCGAGCAAGAGGTAGTAATTTTAGTAAAAAAGATTATTTAATTAAAAAATGTAGGTACACGTTGGAACAAAAAGTTCAGATTTTAATCTGGCATTTTGCTGGTAATTCTGAACGAGAAATTCAAAGATTATTTGCGGGAATGTTCGAGGCCAGACCAAACAGAGAAACAATTCGACGAACCGTTAATAATTGCTTGTTCGAACATTTAATTTAATTTTTCAGTTTATTTATTTTTAGAGTTTTATTAGACCAGGGTCGATAATTTTTGAAACCAAAAAAAAATAACAGTAGGATGAAACCCATTGGAAAAGGAGAAGAATATAATAAAAATAAAAGGAAAAATAAATTACGGGCGATCTGACTTTGGGAAGTGGGAGGGGGATATCGTTCTGATATCCTCGTGTCAAGCACGCTGCGAGGTGCGCGATGGGTATGCGTTGTCGTAGCCTGCCGGCTGGCCAATCAAATTCTATTTGGCGTTCTATCCTTGTTCTTTTCACGCGGGTATTGAACAGCCGTCCTTTCCAGTGTGGTCGGACTTGGATTTGCAAGCACTGTATAATAAAAGAGCTGTTACTAATCCAACTAACATTGCTAACATTTTTATTAATTTTTTCGTCAATGCGCCAAAAAATTTAGTTAATATCTTAAAAAATAGACACTATGAACCGAAACCTGACAAAAACTATCCAACATTTTTTCTTAATCCCGTAAATGATTCGGACATTTTTAATATAATAAATAGTCTAAAGAACTCAGGATCTGCTGGTTTTGATGAAATAAGCTCTATTGTTTTAAAACAGTCTCTACATTTTATTGTAAAACTTTTAACATACTCAATAAATTACTCTTTGTGAAGGTGTTTTTCCTACTATTCTAAAGACTGCTAAAGTAATTCCGTTGCACAAAAAAGGTGATTACAGCAACATTCAAAATTATCGACCGATTTCTTTATTGTCAACAGTATCTCAAATACTAGAAAGAGTAATTTTTAACCAGTTAATTCAGTATATAGAAAAAAACAATATTTTATCATCATCACAACATGGATTTTTAAAGCGGAAATCAACGAAAACGGCTTTTTCTGAGTTCTTGTTAAATGTGTATGAGAATCTAAATAATTTTAACAGGTGTATCGGTATTCTGCTTGATCTAAGCAAGGCTTTTGATCTAGTAAATCATTGCGTACTTTTAAAAAAGCTTAATATGTATGGGTTTCGCGGCAAAATATATGATTGGATGGAATCATACCTTTTTGGTAGATCACAAATTGTTGATATGGATGGAAATAGATCTGAAAAATTGAATGTTAAATGCGGAGTTCCACAAGGATCTGTATTAGGTCCTCTTTTATTCATAATTTTTATTAACTGCGTATCTTTGATTGTAAATGAAGAAAATTTAGTCATATTTGCCGATGACACTTCATATCTTTCATCTGAATCCACTTTTCTAATTTCAGTTCTACGTGTCCAAAATATACTATGCAGTGGTTTGAGGAAAATAAGCTTTTAGTAAATGCCGATAAAACTGTTTTTATGAACTTTCAAGTCGCAAAATTCCGAAAGTCAACTGTTAAAAATCAATAACAAATCTATAAAGCAAGTTGAAAATACTAAATTTTTGGGAATTTATCTCAATGAATGCTTAAGTTGGGAATATCATATAACTGAATTATGTAAACAATTATCTAGAGTTTGTTATGTTTGTTATAGGCTCAATAGCATAGTTAATAGAAGCGTTATTATTTCATATTATTATGCACATTTTTACTCACGTGTAAGTTATATATATATATATATAACGTTTTATCTCATATATAAACTCTAATGTGTCATAGTATTATCCCCACAAAATTTCCAGATGGTGCCACTTGGACTATATATACCTATATAGAAAAGTACAATTTTAGTTGAACCATATAATCTACAGAGGGCGCTAACTACGTGAGTAAAATATACAACGTATCGGCACCATGATAGAATATATACAATAATACTTTGCGGAACCAGAATCAGGTGAGCAGATTTTAGATGTTTCCCGATATTTAAGATTTAATTTTATTTACTATTTAGTAGTGACCATTTCGCTCCTTACTATTATTATTATTCACGGCTAGGGAAGTAAGTGAAATTACATAGTTTTTTACTTAGGTATTTACAACCTACTAATTCAGCTATTCCAATTGATTTTTAGAGAGTAGCATATGTAATTCAGATAACACAATTGCTTTTAAGAAAGTAGCAATTTTAATTCAGATAACACAATTGATTTTCAGAAATTGTAATTCAGAAAGCAGCAAATGTTTTTCAGATAAAATCAAATGTAATTCAGCCGCAGCAATTTTTTCAGGAACAGTGGGTTGCATACAGTAAATCGATGATGAATAAAAGTACACGTTATCTTTATTAACAAAGTAAATGAAATTTATATAAAGTACAAAATAACAAAATTCGAACCAATCTGAAAAAGCTACGAAGCAATTATGTAAAAGTCCATGTTTTTCGTGCCAACTGGTATATCATCAAGCATCAATGCTGCATGATGGAATGTGCTGCTGTGTTGAACAGTGCGAGCACAATTACCGCCGGTGATACTGACTTTTGCGCTGTCCATAACCTCTTCTACATATTGGAGACGTTGCTCTATCAGTCCAGGCGCGATGACATTGGGAACTTGCATATAAGTCTTTGCATATAGTTTCACTTTAGACCAAATTATCTCTATTATATTTAGCATTGGGGAGTATGGTGCAAGCTTCAATAAAGTTTCAGCACTGTTATCAAACATGGTATGCAATGATGTGTGACAAGGCGCGTTATCTGCAACAACGATAAGGTCTTCTAAGTTATTACCCAAATTTTCCCAAGTATCCAACAATGCTTGCACCCATGGATTGTCCAAAACCACCGTCTTCTCTCTAGGGCTACAATTCCGGCTAAAGATATTGCGCCGATAAGATGAATATTTGTCCCTCTGGATGCCGGAAGTTTCTGCACAACGCGATGTCCAACTCTCGCGCGACAATGTCTCCGGCGGCAAAATAAATTAAAATTCGTTTCATCCGATTTCATACGATTTGTTTGCCCTGCTGGATAAATTCATTTAAAGCACAGACATATGTAGCGCGTTCATCGTTATTTTCCAGAGAATTTATGGTCACTGACTCTTTATGCGCCATTTTTAGGATACTAACTGCCCATCCAGGTAATTTGCAATGCAACTACAACTAATATTTTTATTAATAATTTGGAGAATTTTAACTTGAATTTGTTTAAGGTCAGGTCGCATTCGGCCACTCAAGTGATGAGAAAATCTATCTCGTCTTGGGACAAAAGTTTGCGTTTTATTCCACCTCGCATCTTCATTTCGTCATCTCCCGTTCGCACCCAGTGATAGGCCGTTTTATACTTTACACCCAATGTTTGTGCTAAAGTAGCCCAATATTCTCCCCGATTGGCACATGCGACAACGCTCTCCTTGTCTTGTGCAGTATTTTTGTTGTACGATTTTCTTTGCACCACTTCAGAGTCTACAATCACCGCACGGCAAATTTGGGAAAATGCTTCTCCATCATTTTGTAGAATTGGTTTGGCACAATTTTAACGAATTAGGTGATTACAGGGCATTGCAGCTACTACAATTCTATTCATAGGAACACGGCAAATGCAACAATTATCCTTCAGTTCCATATAATTGGCTTCACCAGTATTTTTTTAACTAGACATTTTTCCTTTGTTAAATCCAGTGTAAAATTATTAATTGTTTACTTATGTGGTATTTTTGACAAAATTACATTAATATTGCTAATTAGCAAAAAATAACTATACACAAATGCAAATATTTTTATTCAAGTTTTTATTGTTTTAAATAACCTGAAATTATAGAACACTGAGAAAAAATTAATATTGACAGATTTAACGTTTGCAAAATAAATTTAAATTTAAAAAGTTATACCTCCTTAATAGAAATACACGATATTGTTAATATACTGGCCGCAAGTGAAATCCGAACACCCCGAAAAAATTATTTTATTAAAATGAAATTTTGGTGAAATATTGGTGGCATCGACCCTAACAAACGATTAAAATTTCATATGCTTCGGACAATGTTTACAATTTTTTTTTTTAAATTATGTTTTTAAGATGTGAAAAAGAAATTGAAGTTTTTTTCAAACTTACAGGTATCAATTACTGTAAAAATGTTTGTTTTTTGCTTAGTTTATTTTAATCATGCCTCGCAGGCGACAGCAACCAAATTTTTCACAATTAACCCCATTTGAAGGTCGTATTGTAGGGCAGAGAGAACGTGGTGCTTCATATCGTGAAATCGCTGCAGCTATGGGGCGCAGCGTAGCTACCGTGA